GGCTGTACCATATTTGATCGATCCTGCTGGTCACTCCTCTGCTATTTCCCCATGTATATGCTACTTGTGTTGGGTTATGTACTTTAAAGGTATCTGTGAAATTCTTGGTGATTAGCCATTCCAGCAAGTTAGACTCTGATCAATAGTTGTTTGATGTCTTTAAGATATGTCATTTGTTGATAAAGGGGTTGGATGTGATATTGAAGTCACTTTCTATTGATATATCAGTTTTTTCTGGTATTTGATCTGGTTCATGTCTCCATTTGTTTCTGTTGAGATTACTATTTCCCATCTATTTTCTGAGTAGTACTCTATCTATAGTTTGTGTTTATTCTTCTCTACCATGCCTCTTATATTGTGTATTACAATCATTCAGATTGGTTGGTTGGTTGTTAAGGTTTTATTTGAATGTGTGATATTTTTGTTTTGTATTTACTAGTGTTTGGGTTATCTGTTCGAGAGAAACTAAGGAATTTGAAATTGTGTTGTCTATTTTACTGCTTTCTCTTCTCTGAGAGTTCTTTTAAGTCGTGTTAATCATATTATTGAGGAGGGTTGTGCCCTGATAAAACTTTCTGTTGAGATAGTTTGAAGAGATTGGTTGCTTTTTCTATTGTTGAACTTATTTTATTAAGCATTGTTGATATACTTCTTGTGTTTTTTTGATATCTTGAATCTTGATGCTTGTTCCCGCTGCTTGTTCTTCACTCTTGGTAGGTGTAGCTTCAACTAGTTCTTCCATGAGTTTGCTTATGCTCTCCAGGTATCTATTTGTACACTCTTATTCTAGAGTGTCTACTCTCTCATTCAGATCTTGGAGGGAGTCCTTCATTTCTTTGATTTCTCTCTAGATTGTTGATAAAGCTTGCCAAATATTGTCATCATGGTTATTGTTAATGGGATTCTTTCCATATTTTAGGATATTTGTATAGCTTCTAGGATCTTCAGTTCTAAAATTCTTGTGACTGGTGTGGTTAAGGTTCATTCTATATCTGGGTGGTGATGGCATCCTTGGATTGTCTAACTTATTAATATATTGTCTTGGGGGAAGGGATTTGGGGCTATTAGGGCATGTGTTCATATCATATTCAGGTAAGCTACAGATGAGACATATTCTTGTTTCTCAGTCTATTCACTGTGTCTGGATTCCTTAAATCACAGGGGCTACTACTTTTGCTTCTTGCAACTCTTCTCTGGATTGGAAGGCGAGGACTACGAATCTTTTGGCTCAATTGTTGTTATCTCTGGGAATGTATGCTGACTTGACTTTGATGCTTATTATTGTGACTACCAGGTCTACTGCTGTTGTGTCTGGGAGCAAGAAGGTTAGTGTTATGCTGAAAAATTTCCTTTATTCTCAGACTTCATGTGTTTTATAATAAGAGAATATTCTGCATAAATGGAGTCCTTTTGTGAGAGCCCAGTCTTGACTGATTTCTACATAATTGGATGTGTTAGAGAATGTTATGTTTGCTATTTGAAAAAGTTCTACTCTTTGCAAGGTAATATAATTGATACTGATTTGTTTGTTGAAAAATTCTATCAAGTCTGTTTTAGTGAAGTGCTGAGGAATGTTCCATACCTTGATAGTGCAGGCATTGCTATCTTGGAAACCTAATAGGACTATTATTCTAAATTTGGTACTCTCATAGTTTGTGAGTTCTATTGTGTATGCTTTGTGCACATTCTTCTGACTATCAAAAATAGTTGTGATTTATAGTTTTTCAATTGGGACTTCTATCTTTATGTATTTTAGGGAGGGCATATATTCCATTTTTTGTCTAATGAATTCAATTTATTCTCCTGTGTTTTGTTCTGATACTTGTTCTGGATTGATAAATGTCTTTCATGGCTTGGAGAAGACTGATCTATCTTGAGTATTTTGTGGTATAAGCAGCCTTTTCTATATATTTATATGGTCTTTGTAGCTGTAACCTGTCTGGTTGATGATGCTGAGTTGCTTGTTTTTTGCTTGGAGCTCTGTGGTACTCCCGTTTTCAAATGCTTTGACTATGATAGGTGATAGTATCCTGCTATTAATGATGCTTTCCATATTTTGCTCCACTTGTCCTACTTCTTCTGTCTCCATTTCTTCTTCTTGTGTTCTTGGGCTCTCTTTTCCTTTTCTTTTCCTTTGACCATTAGTTTTTTGGAAAGAACTAATCTGGTTCCAAGAGGGGTATGTCTTAGTTGGAATGTCAGTATTGTTACTTTCATATTTAAAATTCTGCCATTGCTTTTGCTTAGCCTGTTTATGTTGTATTCTGGTGTTGTTTGCCTTAACAGGTTTCTCAGTTGCCTTGTGGAGACCATGTTGCTTGGGACATTACTTTTGTAGATGGAGACGAGTTCATTTTATGTATTTGCCTAATAAGGAAATTTTTATGATTTTGCAATTTTTTGATGCATATTATTAATATCTTTTATAATATTATTTATTATTTATATTTATATTTTGTCAATAGAATTCTTTATGGATTTATCATTAAAGATGCATATTAATTCTTTTGAATTATTATTTTCTCAACAAAGTATTAATACATATTTTTAAAATGGTAAATCAGTAGAAGAAACTATTGATGAACTACTCAATGGTTCTATAAGTCCTAATAATATCAAGAAGATCAGAACTTGTTTCATTAGAATAAATTACATTCTTTTGATAATCTTCTTTTTGTATTGTTATCCAGAGATGATATGATATAATGCTACTTTTAGCACTATTCCAATTTGAATTATTGGAATAAACAATTTTAAAAATAACATAAAATAGAAAATATAGGAATCAAAATATTATAAATTAGTATAATACAATAATTGAAAAGATATTATTGTGAGTCTATATTCTTATTTAAGTTATTATGAAATTTAATTTTATTAATTTGATATATCAAATATACAATTAGATTAATTATCTACAGTAATGATCTGTAGGTAATGATTTTATTAATTAGAGGAATTATCCAAATTAGTAAAGGAGCGAAATATCATTTCCTAGGTTGCATTTAAAGAAATAGTTTTTTCAATGATAAGTGAGTCTGTATGTGAAAGTTACAACAATTTGTAAATACTTAGCATATATACAATAAAGACATGTCATGCTGACCTAACTGTGGATTAAAAAAAAAAATAAAAATACAATTAGATTAATTATTATTATATATATTATTTAAAGATGCATTATTATGAAAAAAATGATCTAAAGATTTTAATAGTAATTATATATTTAAGTGATACATTTTTTCATCTTTTGTCAAATAATTCTAAAATCATTTAAATAACATTCTTGTAAAAAATAAATATTTGATTATCAAAATATTTACTGTAACAAATATTATATTCTTGTTATTTTTGTAATTATTGATCTCATAATTATTGACTCTTTTGCTATAATTCAACAATCTTCAGATAACAATTCATCATCAATCTTGAAAATGATTTTGACTTCATGGGAATTCTTTTTGCTAATAGCATTCTTTATATATATATATATATATATATATTTTTTTAATAAACATACAACATTGCCCATTTTATTGAATTCATTCATATACAGGTACATATACTTCGGCTTGCAAAGCAATTTTACAAACAGTTTTCTATGCTTTTATTATATATACTTACAATAAAGCCAATTGACTGGAATGCCTCTTGTGGCTTGTTGTCTCTTTTAGAGAGAAACTAATGTGCCTAGGCACCATTAGCATGTTCCGTGTAGATGTGTGTTAAGTTGTGGATTCCTCTGATCATTTCTGTGAAAAAGTTTCCATCAACTATTTGATGTGCCTTTGTTTCTGTCTCTTGATGTATCAAGCGTGCGTTGCATTCACGTTTTAGAGGCTTCTTTTGTTTACCTGTGATACCATGGAGTTTCTCCCAAGCATGTAGTCTGTCACATCTGTCCAACCAGATGTTGCATGTCCAGAAGCGTATGATGTTATTAATTCCTCTTAGAGTTTCGTTGACCCTATCGGATTTGATATATGTGGTCACGATTTTGATAATTGACTTGCATATACCACCTCTGATTATGATGTCTCGGATGGACTTATTTGACAAGATCTTTTTTGCTTCCATTTCGACATTGTGTGTTGGAGTGTCGATCGTACGTGCAATGATCTCCTGGTGTATGGTGTGAGCAATCATATTGTTGATATCTATCCCGTGATGTGTACAGATGAATGGGTGTATATTGTCCTCAGACATGTCACATAATATGCAGTCCATAGATGGGTATAGGTCTGGTCATCTGTTATGTAGTTTGTTCATTGTGGGTAGTTCCTGGTTCCAGAGTTTAATGGCGAAATTTCTATAGTTGTGATTCCAGTGATCTGTCTTTCCAATGTTCATATTTAATGGATGCAACCTGGAGATTGTTTTGTCCCAGTCAATTTCAGATGCTGTGTTTTTGTTGATGTGTGAGTTTCTCTTTAGTGAGGTCCATTGGTATATTAACTATGCTTGCCTGATCTTTTTGATTATCTTCCATGGGTGTGTGTAAATTCCGTGTTCTTTCTGAAGGTGAAAACGATGTTCTGTGGGTTAAGTATTATATTGTTGAGTGTACCCATGTATTTAGATTGAGTATGTTTGTTTGCTTGTTTTGCTAGGGAATTTACTGTTGTAAATGGGTGGTCGCTACCATGTTCTATTTTGTTGGTTTTGATCCATATGATTTTAATATTGTGCTGTTTGAGGATGAAGATGAAATTTCCTATTAGTCTTAGTTCTGATACTGCTTTTATGTCATTCTCCATGTAACTAGTGTATTCTTTGATAAGCGTATCTGAGTCTGTTTCCAATATGAGGTTTGTCCCTAGTCCACAGAAGGTTGAAGCTATTGTGGTGGCAAGAATTTCTGCTCTATATACTGAAGTCTGACCCACTATACGAAACATCACTTTGGCTATAGTCTGATGTTTGTGTGTGATGTGTATGTCTATATCGCAGCTGTCTGGAAGTAAAAGTTGGTTATATATACCATCTGTGTAGATATGTGCTTAATTGTTGCGTCTAGTGGTTTTGTATATTCCTTGTATGTATTCCTCTGTACTTTGATCAAAAGTTATGTATTGCGTAAGTTCCTGCATTATTTTTGGGAACATTGGAATATCTATTGCTTCTATTTGTTGGTTGTGTTCGTGCATGTATCTGTTCAGGCTGTTTGGCGAAATCTGTATTCTTGGCTGCCTTGACGAACCACTGTGACTAGAAGATCTTGTTGTGTTGATTACTGGAATGCTGTATGCATTATGCTTGTCAATACGTATACAACAAAATGGTCCTGTTTTGTCAGTTTCGTTTGTAAGATGACATCCATGACATGCGGTGACAGGTGAGCAATTCGTTGTATTGTAATGTCTCACTTTGATCGATGTTTCCGTGGAGCTGATTCTTTTCCCTATTATTGTAGAGTTATTGCGTAGAGTTGCGTACCATGTTGCTCTAGTTTTTTGAGTTTCTGCCGGTTCGATCTGCGGAATTGGGTTGAGTGTTGGTGTGAGGGAATTGATTGAATTAAGATTTGTGATTTGCTGACGCAGGTATTGAAACCATCCTGGTTCCCTTTTCTTTTTAATTTTTCTGTGGAGGGCGTCGATTTGATGCCATTGTAGTATTACAGTTTGATATGTACTAAGAAGTTGTTCTATCCAGATTAGTCTATGTGATCTTAATGCTTTTCTATGTTTGTTGTACCAATCTTCTTCAACGAAGTCTTGGATATATCGAAGATTTGTTATCCTATTTTCTGAATGCGTCTTCTTACTGGCAAAAAACCCGTAATCTTGTAGGTTAATTAGAACGTCTTGTAAGAAGTTTGTTTTGGCTTGAAAAATGTGTGGACAATTTGGTAAGATGTCTGTCTTTTGCCATGCCTGCCATTGGAGGTACTGGATCCTATTGCGGATAATGTCACCTATTAAATTGTAACTCACATATGTTTGTTGTAATTTACTTGCATGTTTTTGCATTTGTCAAGTTTGTATCTCCATTAAGCCATATTGGTTATGGAGATGGAAAATTGGATTTGGTGCAGTTAAAGCTAGTCTTGTTG